ATATATATATATATATATATATATATATATATATATATATATATATATATATATATATATATATATATATATATATATATATATATATATATATATATATATATATATATATATATTTATTTATTTATTTTGTTTATTTTTTTTTTTTTACATTTTTTTTGTACTTTGTTTTATTTATTTTTTTATTAAAAATAATTCTACTTTTTATCACTTCAATTTATTATTATTATTTTTGCATGAAAACCTGACTGCAAACCTGTACTATTGAATCCAGGGCTCGTGCACAATGAAGCTGAACAGTTCCTCAGAGCTCATGGTGAGTCTGGATTATTTTTACATCTGTATCCAAACTCCATCTCTGACCCTGTTTATAGCTGGTATTAAAGGGATGGAAGTATGAAACATAAAACGAAAATTCTCATCATTTACTCTCCCTTGACATATTCCAAACAATTTTTTGGACATATTTATTTAAAGTTATCAGGATGAATGTACAACGTGCTTTCAGAGATATAATCTGAGGCAAGTTTTACAAAGAATGTGCCATAGGTTATAGTCCAAATGTACTACAAAAGCAAATCATATGTTTTTACTGCTGCATATACTTTGCATATTTGTATTTATATTTTTTTTCTGTATTGCTGTACGGCCTAATATCTGTTTGTTTTATTTATAATGTTATTTATCTTATTATTATGTTGTATATATTTTTTATTCGTGTTTGTCCCTAAATGTTTTATTTGCTTATAGATTGGTAAAATTAATGTGTTGTGACTTATTTTATTTATTTATCTATTTATTATATTTAAAACCGTAACCCTCTGACTAATATGCATCAACAAAATTGCATGTTAAACCAAAAGCAAATCATAAACAATAATAGCAAATGGGTTATAACAAATACAAACAAATCTTTAAGAACAAAGTAATAATAATAAACCATAATTAAAGCTGCAAGCAGCGATGATAGGGACCTCGCACCCGGGCTCACCGCCGCCCGGTGACCTTACGATGACAGAGAACAGCGAACAATAATAATTTAAGCCAATATATAAAAAAAAGATCTAAGAAAATCACAGATTTATGCCAAACTTCCTCCTGTCAGCAGGTGGCGCTATGACTGTGACTTAAGATTGGCATGTAGATGTCTTCCGGAGAGGAATGTTATCAACCATGTGAAGTTTCAGGCACATGGGACATTGTGTGGCTGAGTTATAAGCCAAACTACCTTCTGCCAGCAGGTGGCGCTATGACTGACTCAATATTGTTATGTGGATGTGTTCAGGAGCGGACTTTTATCAACCATGTGAAGTTTCAGGCAGATCAGAGATTGTGTGGAGATTGTGTTTTAAGACAAACTACATTCTGCCAGCAGGTGGCGCTATGAAAGACTCAATATTACTATGTAGATGTGTTTAGGAGAGGACTTTCATCAACCATGTGACATTTTAGGCAGATCTGACATTGTGTGGCCGAGTTACAAGCCAAAATTTCTTCTGCCAGCAGGTGGCGCTATGACTGACTCAATATTGTTATGTGGATGTGTTCAGGAGAGGACTTTTATCAATCATGTGAAGTTTCAGGCAGATCAGACTTTGTGTGGTTGAGTTATAAGAAATTCCTGTTCCATGGCGAAGCGTTGAGGTTCGTCATGCCACCACAGACACGCCCCTTTGCAAAAACTCTAGATCTTCACAATATATCATCGCTAGAGCTTTCAGATGACACCACTCTATTTTGGTGCTGATACAATAAAATTTGTGGGAGGAGTTTGTTACACTGTAAAACATGTCATTTCCTGTGGCCAGCAGGTGGCGCTATAACTGTAACTAGATATCGGCACCTAAACCTGATCAGGTCAGGACTGTTATTAAATGTGTGAATTTTGAGGCAGATCGAACATTGCATGCCAGAGTTATAAAGACTTCCTGTTTTGTGGCGAATCAAAGTTTGCGAGGCCGCCACGGACACGCCCATCGATGAAAACTCTAAAGCTTCGCAATTTAACATCACCAAGGCTTTAAGATGACAAAACCCAATTTTGGTAATTATCAGATAAAATTCCTAGGAGGAGTTCGTTAAAATACAACGCCTGAAAATGGCAAAAGCGCCACTTTTTCGCCACAGGAATTTAAAAATATCCGACTTCCTGTTGGGTTTGAGATATGGCTCCAAGAGACTTTTTCGTATGTTTTGCCATGTTTGAGGTGTGTGCCAATTTTCGTGCGTGTGCGTGATTCGTAGATCGGGGGCTCGTCCGTTTAATTTTTCTAGGTGGCGCTGTCGAGTCATTTTGCCACGCCCACTTCCGAAGCCCTTAACAAACGTAAATTTTCGCCACTTCTGAGGCGTGTGCAAAGTTGCGTGAGTTTTCGGGCATGTTTAGCCCCTCAAAATCGCGATTCATTCCGGAGGAGAATAATAATAATAATAATTAAAGCTGCAAGCAGCGATGATAGGGACCTCGCACCCGGGCTCACCGCCGCCTGGTGGCCTCAGGATGACAGAGAACAGCGAACAATATTAATTTAAGCCGATGTATATAAAGAACCCGAGAAAATTACAAATTTATGTCAAACTTCTTCCTGTCACCAGGTGGCGCTGTGACTGTGACTCAAGATTGGCATGTAGATGCCTTCAGTAGAGGAATCTTATCCACCATGTGAATTTTCAGCCAGTACAGACATTGTTCGGCTGAGTTATATTTAATTTCCTGTTGCCAGCAGGTGGCGCTATGACTGTGACTTAAGATTGGCATGTAGATGCCTTCAGTAATGGAATTTAATTAACCATGTGAAGTTTCAGGCAGATCAGACATTGTGTGGTTGAGTTATAATAACTTCCTGTTCCATTGCGAAGCGTTGAGGTTTGTCATGCCACCACAGACACGCCCCTCAGCAAAAACTCTAGATCTTCACAATATATCATCGCTAGAGCTTTCAGATAACACCACTCTATTTTGGTGCTGATACGGGAAAGTTTGTGGAAGGAGTTTGTTACAGTGTCAAACATGTCATTTCCTGTGGCCAGCAGGTGGCGCTATAACTGTAACTGGATATCGGCACGTAAACCTGTTCAGGTCAGGACTGTTATTAAATGTGTGAATTTTGAGGCAGATCGAATATTGCATGCCTGATTTATAATGACTTCCTGTTTTGTGGCGAATCATCAACGTTTGCGAGGCCGCCACGGACACGGCCATCAATGAAAACTCTAAAGCTTCGCAATTTAACATCACAAAGGCTTTAAGACGACAAAACCCAATTTTGGTGTCAATCAGATAAAATCCCTAGGAGGAGTTCGTTAAAATACAACGCCTAGAAATGGCAAAAGAGCCACTTTTTCGCCGCAGGAAGTTAAAAATATCCGACTTCCTGTTGGGTTTGAGATATGGCTCCAAGAGACTTTTTCATATGTTTTGGCATGTTTGAGGTGTGTGCCAATTTTCGTGCATGTGCGTGATTTGTAGATCGGGGGCTCGTCCGTTTAATTTTTATAGGTGGCGCTGTCGAGTCGTTTTGCCACGCCCACTTCAATATTGTTATGTGGATGTGTTCAGGAGAGGACGTTTATCAACCATGTGAAGTTTCAGGCTGATTGGACATTTTGTGGTTGAGTTATAAGGACTTCCTGTTCCATGGCGAAGCGTTGAGGTTTGTCATGCCGCCACGGACACGCCCCTCTGTGAAAACTCTAGATCTTCACAATATATCATCACAAGAGCTTTCAGATGCATCCACCCAATTTTGGTGCTGATACGATAAATTTTGTGGGAGGAGTTTGTTACTCCGTAAATCATGTCATTTCCTGTGGCCAGCAGGTGGCGCTATAACTGTATCTGGATATCGGCATGTAAATGTGTTCAGGTCAGGACTGTTATCAAGCGTGTGAATTTTGAGGCAGATCGAGTAATGCATGCCTGAGTTATAACGGCTTCCTGTTTCGTGGCGAATCGTCAAAGTTTGCGAGGCCGCCACGGACACGCCCATCGACGAAAACTCTAATCCTTCGCAATTTAACATTGCCAAGGCCTTTAGATGACAAAAGCCAATTTTGGTGTCGATCGGATAAAATCCCTAGGAGGAGTTCGTTAAAATACAACGCCTGGAAATGGCAAAAACGCCACTTTTTCGCCGCAGGAAGTTAAAAATATCCGACTTCCTGTTGGGTTTGAGATATGGCTCCAAGAGACTTTTTCGTATGTTTTGCCATGTTTGAGGTGTGTGCCAATTTTCGTGCATGTGCGTGATTCGTGGATCGGGGGCTCGTCCGTTTAATTTTTCTAGGTGGCGCTGTCGAGTCATTTTGCCACGCCCACTTCCGAAGCCCATAATAAACGTAAATTTTCGCCACTTCTGAGGCGTGTGCAAAGTTGCGTGAGTTTTCGGGCATGTTTAGCCCCTCAAAACCGCGATTCATTCCGCGGAAGAAGAAGAAGAAGAAGAAGAATAATAATTAAAGCTGCAAGCAGCGATGATAGGGACCTCGCACCCGGGCTCACCGCCACCTGGTGGCCTCAGGATGACAGAGAACAGCGAACAGTAATAATTTAAGCCGATATGTTTAAAAAAATCGGAGAAAATCACCGATTTATGCCAAACCTCCTCCTCTCAGCAGGTGGCGCTATGACTGTGACTCAAGATTGGCATGTAGATGTCACCAGGAGAGGAATCTTATTAACCATGTGAAGTTTCAGGCAGATCGAACATTGTTTAGCTGAGTTATAAGCCAAACTGCCTTTTGTCAGCAGGTGGCGCTACGACAGACTCAATGTTGTTATGTAGATGTGTTCAGGAGAGGACTTTTATCAACCATGTGAACTTTCAGGCAGATCGGACTTTGTGTGGTTGAGTTATAATGCAAACTACCATCTGCCAGCAGGTGGCGCTATAACTGTGACTTAAGATTGGCATGTAGATGCCTTCAGTAATGGAATTTAATCAACCATGTGAAGTTTCAGGCAGATCGGATGTTGTTTGGCTGAGTTATAAGCCTATCTACCTTCTGCCAGCAGGTGGCGTTATGACTGACTCATTACTGTTTTGGGGATGTGTTCAGAAGAGGACTTTTATGAGCCATGTGAAGTTTCAGGCTGATCTGACTTTGTGTGGTTGAGATATAAGGACTTCCTGTTCCATGGCGAAGCGTTGAGGTTTGTCATGCCGCCACGGACACGCCCCTCTGCAAAAACTCTAGATCTTGACAATATATCATCACTTAAGCTTTCAGATAACAACCCACCAAACTTGGTGCTGATACAAAAAAAAATATTGGGAGGAGTTTATTACTCTGTAAATCATGACATTTCCTGTGGCCAGCAGGTGGCGCTATAACTGTATCTGGATATTGGCATGTAAACGTGTTCTGGTCTGGACTCTTATTAAACATGTGAATTTTGAGGCAGATCGGATAATGCATGCCTAAGTTATAATGACTTCCGGTTTTGTGGCGAATCGTCAAAGTTTGCGGGGCCGCCATGGACACGCCCATCGACAAAAACTATAAAGCTCCGCAATTTAACATCGCCAAGGCCTTTAGATGACAAAACCCAATTTTGGTGTCGATAGCATAAAATCCCTAGGAGGAGTTCGTTAAGATACAACGCCAGGAAATGGCAAAAATGCCACTTATTTGCAGCAGGAAGTTAAAAATATCCGACTTCCTGTTGGGTTTGAGATATGGCTCCAAGAGACTTTTTCGTATGTTTTGGCATGTTTGAGGTGTGTGCCAATTTTCACGCATGTGCGTGATTCGTAGATCGGGGGCTCGTCCGTTATATTTTTGTAGGTGGCGCTGTCGAGTCATTTTGCCACGCCCACTTCAATATTGTTATGTGGATGTGTTCAAGAGATGACGTATATCAACCATATGAAGTTTCAGGCTGATCAGACTTTGTGTGGTTGAGTTATGAGGACTTCCCGTTCCTTGGCGAAGCGTTGAGGTTTGTCATGCCGCCACGAACACGCCCCTCTGCAAAAACTCTAGATCTTTACAAAATATCACCGATAGAGCTTTCAGATGACACCACTCAATTTTGGTGCTGATACCATAAAATTTGTGGGAGGAGTTTGTTACAGTGTAAAACATGTCATTTCCTGTGGCCAGTAGGTGGCGCTGTAACTGTATCTGGATATTGGCATGTAAACGTGTTCAGGTCAGGACTCTTATGAAACGTGTGAATTTTGAGGCAGATCGGATAATGCATGCCTGAGTTATAACGACTTCCTGTTTTGTGGCGAATCGTCAAAGTTTGCGAGGCCGCCACGGACACGCCCATCGACGAAAACTCTAAAGCTTCGCAATTTAACATCGGCAAGGCCTTTAGATGACAAAACCCAAATTTGGTGTCGATTGGATAAAATCCCTAGGAGGAGTTCGTTAAAATACAACGCCTGGAAATGGCAAAAACGCCACTTTTTCGCCGCAGGAAGTGAAAAATATCAGACTTCCTGTTGGGTTTGAGATATGGCTCCAAGAGACTTTTTCGTATGTTTTGGCGTGTTTGAGGTGTGTGCCAATTTTCGTGCATGTGTGTGATTCGTGGCTCGGGGGCTCGTCCGTTTAATTTTTCTAGGTGGCGCTGTCGAGTCATTTTGCCACGCCCACTTCCGAGACCCATATCAACCTGCTATTTACACCGGGTTTGGTGTGTGTGCAAATTTTCATGAGTTTTCGGGCATGTTTAGACCCTCAAAAGTGCCCCGATAGGGGGCGGAATAATAATAATAATAATAATAATAATAATAATAATAATAAAAAACGGAGCAATTCCAATAGGGCCTACGCACCGTTTCGGTGCTCGGTCCCTAATAAACAGAGCAATTCCAATAGGGCCTACGCACCGTTTCGGTGCTCGGTCCCTAATTATCCTTAAATTGGATAGATGGATGGATGAGGTAAAGGAAAATATAGGAAAGTTAGTTTTCTTTATTTATCTTTAGTTGTACACAAAAGAAAATATTGTGGAGAATATTGGAAACCTGTAACCACTGACTTAGTATAGTATTTGTATTTCCTACTATAGAAGTCAATGGTTACAGTTTTACAACATTCTTCAAATTATCTTTTTCTGTTCAACACAAGGAGAAAGTCTTTGGGTGAACTATCTCTTTAATACCAGGTGTAAATAGTGCATTGCCTCTGCGTTTCAATGTAACCTTTATTCAACAGCCAATCACCTGGAGAGAGTTTGCAAACATCCACCCGTTCGTGCCGCTGGATCAGGCTGAAGGTTATCAGCTGCTCTTCAGACAGCTGGAGAAGGACCTTTGTGAGATTACGGGATACGATAAAATCTCCTTTCAGCCCAACAGGCAAGTGTCCCAGCACATGACTCCGGTTATGCTTGTGTGTTTTCATTTTAAAACACTCAACTGTTGATAGGGTTTTTACACCCGACAATTACAAACCTCTAGAGTTTTAACCCTCAAAATATTCCTAAACTGTAACATTGGTTCCTGACAATGAAGTGGGGATTTAAATGCAGCATCTCTATTTAAACAGAGAATGGTCAGGCAGGCAACGGTCAAACAGGAGCAAACAGTATCAGGCGAAAAGATCAGCACAGACTGCTAACTGCAAAAATCAATAAACAGGGCTAGGATGTGGAAAACAAGGCATGGGAAACAAAACAAGGAAAATCCTTTTGTGATACTACTGGATACAGACTAAGCAAAGTGAGTGAGAAAGTGAAGTGTATATATATATATAGTTCTTGTAATAAGTGAAAACGAGCTGTGTCTGTCTGGATTATTGTCAGCTGTTACAGAAGTTTTTGGTTGCAAAAAGTTGTAGTTCTGCAGAAATACCAGGATAAATCTCCAGCGTTGACAACACAGCTGGCGATTGGGACAAACAGTGTAGAGCAGGGGTGGCCAATCCTGTTCCTGGGGATCTACCTTCCTGCAGATTTCAGTTGCAACCCTTATCAAACACACCTGTCTGTAATTATCAAGTGGATTTCAGGTCCTAATTATTTGGTTCAGGTGGGTTTGATCAGGGTAGGAGCTAAACTGTACAGGAAGGTAGATCTCCAGGAACAGGATTGAGCACCCCTGGTGTAGAGCAACCAAAACACAGACTATTTAAGGGTGTGGCTGCACTCCCTGATTGGCTCTTCTAGGTCATTATGTATCCTTCTCTGATTCAAGCCTTTCATATAGATATGTTATACCGAATCTGGTTTATTTATTTTTTTAGTTGCTTTTTGTTTTCTTGTTTTGATTTGATGGTATTTAGGAATTAAAGTTAAGGGTATGAGGTGGGGGAGGGGGGGGGGGTAAACAATCTGAGATTTGAACTCAGGAATCCTGAATTGCACTGCTCACAAGGCTATGGGAGTCAACAGTTTTTGCGATGCACACTCAAGTTCAGAGAAATTGAGACTGCAAAAAGACTTTATTTATTTATTTTAATGCCTCATGTTTTTATTGCGAATATACCCAATTAAAAACAAACCAGTTATCCATTATGCTTAACTGTATGACAAAAGTGTGGGATTATTTTAATGTTGTTTTATTTAGATTTATTCATTTTCCTTTGGCTAATTCCTTTTATTTATCAGGGGTTGCCACAGCGGAACTTTTTTTTTTTTTTTTCTTAATTCATTTTAGAAGTTCACTTATCACCGTTTTATAATTTGTGATTTATTAAATTTTTACTTTTATGGTCTACAATTTTGTTGAGGCTTTATCATGTGTTTTCAGTCCTGTAGTGTAGATATTTTTTTAAAACGCAGTGTTAAACGGCAAAAGGCGTTTTGTTTTTAGGGTGTACTCGCACTAGGTACAGTTGTCTTGAAACATGCTAAAGCAACAGCTTGCATTTTGCATTTCGAGCCGGAGCACGCTTGCATCATTGATGCGACTGTTCAGTTTAATAGGAAGAGAACACTCTCGCTCAGCACAGTGAACATTGCTTTATTTATATAGTTTTGTATGGCTTTAAGTCATTTAACATGCAATGACATGCAGTCAAATATTTTGCAGAACAGATCCACAACTTTTGACGCTCATAAGCAATCATAAAGTCCTTGTGCGTTGAGGCGTTTGCATCTTTAATAAACTTTGACAGTTCGTGTTTTGAACATTAAGAATGATTAATAAATCCATATGAAACAATCCCCTAAATGTGACATCACATCCTCAGTTTCACACTCGGGTGCGCTTTGCACTCATGCTACAAGTTCCAAAACTCAACCAAACCTTGCTCTGGCACACCTCTTCCAACTGGGCCAGGGCCGGCCAACTAAACCACACCTGAGCCCGATTTAGAGCATTCACGCTTGTCAAACGAACCGGGAAATGTGCCTGGGGATGGTTCGGATAGCATAATGTAAGTGCACCCTTAAAATAGAGTTAAAACAAATGTACTTATGTAAACTTTGTTTGTTTGTTTGTTTTTCTCAATGCAAGTTATTTATAATAAATACCATATATATTTTGTGTTTTAATACATTTTTGTGTATATAGTCTACAGTTTTGTACAAAAATCATGTAGCTTTTATTGCTTCATAATGTTTTCTGTCTTGTAGTGTAGATCTTTTGTGAAACGCAGTGGAAAAACACCAAAAAAATAAAATAAACAAACGCACTTGTAAGAACTTTACCCATTACGCTTAGCTGTATGGCCAAAAGTGTGGGATTATTTGAATGTTACTTTATTCAAATTCATCAATTTTCCTTCAGCTTTTTTTTTTTATTAGGGGTCACCACAGAGGAATGAACCATGCAAACTTTTTTTTTTCAGTGCAGTTTCTAATTTATTTAAAATGAATACCATTTATTATTTGCATATATAGTCTATGATTTTGTACAAAAATTGTATCGCTTTATCATGCGTTTTCAGTCCTTAAGTGTAGATCTTTTTTTTTAATGCAGTAAACAATGGCAGAAACAAAATAGTGTTTTAAAATAGAGTTAAAACAAACATACTTGTGCAAACAAGAGCCACAAACAGCTCTTGTAGCCCGTTTCATTCAGGTTTCTTGTGCTGATAAACAGTTTTGGAGGTGTGTTCGCAGCTCTGCATTCTGCTTGGTTGACACAATAACTGATCATTAGCATACTGTACTGTTGCGCAAGAGTTTCCTGGAGCAATCTTTGAACTCTGAGGCACAGCGGTTACATATACATGATGTTATTGATTTTCATTAGAATTTTTTTTTCGTTTATGTTTAGTGGTGCGCAGGGGGAATATGCAGGCCTGGCTGCGATCAAAGCCTATCTGAACTCCAGAGGAGAGTCTCATAGAACTGTGAGTATCATCCTGAAGCAGCAATTACTTCACGTTTGACCTTAAAGAAAAACCACATTTGACATTGAAGGATTAAGTTGACCTTTTGTGACTTTCCCTAATCTTATGAGAAATGATTAAACAGAACTGTGATAACGTTCTTCAAATGGCCTGCGTTAAAAAAAAAAAAAAGTAGCGCATATAACATGCACTGTAAAAATTGCTGGCTTCCATACAATTAATTCATGTTGTCCCAACAAAAATCGGTTAAGTTTAATTAATTGTTTGGACAAATTTAAGTGGATTGAACATAAAACGATTAAGTAGTCCCAAAAACAATCTCAAGAATTGAGTCGTTTCAGCTTATTTTAAATAAGCAACAAAAAAAAGTTTGCTGGACTTAATTGAATTAACTTTTTAAATTTTACATAAAAATATATACAATTATAATGTTATTTTGTTTAATGGGGACTATATATATATATATATATATATATATATATAGCCTAATTTTAAGCCAAATACTATAACTTGTTACATCAAACTAGATAAGCTTCATTCAATCTGTCAATTAAAACAGCATTCTTTTAGGTGTAACAAGTTGTTTAGTAAGTAATTTAAGCTTATCCGATTTAAAAAAAAAAAAAAAAAAAAATGGTTTGATAGGCACTGAAATGACCCCTCAGTACCATTTACCAAACTTTCCACTTGATCCTTACACAACAAAAACACACATTTATTTTGCATATTATTATTATTATTATCATTATTATTTAAATTCTCAATATACTTTTTTAAAAAATACATTTATTTCATATTTATTTATTTATCTATTTTTATTTTGTTCATTCAGTCGTTGTAGTGTTTTTATTTATCCATTTATTTATTTTTTTATTTATGTATGTATGCATGTATGCGTGTTTGTGTGCGTGCGTGTGTGTGTGTGTGTATGTTTGTGTGTGTGTGTGTGTGTGTGTGTTTATATATATCTTATTATTTTTTTTTGATTATTTTTTATTTATTTATCTTTTTCATTTATTTTTAATGTTATTTCATTATTTTTTTCATTATTTTTATTTATTTTATTTTATTGTAATTTTTTATTTGTGTTTTGATTGTTTATTTATTTATATTTATTTATTTTTATAAATTTTTTTATTTGTTTATTTTTGTTATCTTTTTTTTAACTGAAAAATTTAAACATACAAACACAATCCATGGTAAATACCCGTAAGGAAATTAAATGCATCAAATAAAAAATGAATGGATAAATAAAAAGTAAGATAAATAATAAGTTATAAAATGAAATTATAGATCAATAAACCTTAAATGAATTTTTAAAAATTGTATATTGGTAATACTAATAATAGTTATAATAATATCTAAAATAGTGGCTTTGCTGTCTGAGGATCAACAGTAAAATTTTGAAATTAACATTGTGGGGTCATTTCAGTGCCTATAAAACGCTGGTAGATATCATAAAATTGGTGGACATGCGGATACACAGATAATTTAATTTATATCCACACACTTATTTTTGTATTCAAATATTTGCACTTGTATAGAAACTACTAAAGTGCTCAAGTATGTTAATTGTTTATGGGTGTTTTGAGCCTGAGGGTAAAAAAAAATGCTGAAAAGGCAGATTGTTAGTGTGGACTGGAAGAAGATCAGCGATAAGAGCTTTTAGTCAAGTCATGGTAGGGTTTTGTAATCTGGTCTTTGTTTTTATCATCTCCCTAATAAGCAGATCCCAGATAGCGAATGCAGCTCTTAAAGCAGCCAAGGTTCAAACTGCCATGGTTGGGTAAATATCCATAGAAAACAACCAGCATGTTACAGGACTCAACTTCAGCGCAAGACTCCATATTTGGAGATTTTTAAGACACGCAGTCCTTGGACGATCAGTTCTGACCTGCGGGAAATTGCATAATGTGTCAAGTGTTTGGGCCACTGTGTTCTTAGTTCAGTCTGGCACACAGTCTCTTACAGCATATCATTGCATTTTAAGTTTAAAACGACTAAATGAAAGTTAAATGTCAATTCGGATGTCTGTCGGAAAAGGAAAAAAATCATAAATGTGACCCTGGAGCACAAATCTGGTATGTTGCATGAGAAAATTAGCAGGAATAGCCAAAAATGCATTGTGTGGGTCGAATTATTCAATTTTATTTCATGGCAAACATAATTAGATTGTTATAATATCATGCTTGATGAAGATATTTAGTAAATTTCCTTCTGTAATTATATCAAACTGTCATTTTTGCTTGGTAATATGCATTGCTACGAACTTTAATATGGACACATTTATAGGTTAGGGTAATTTATTTATTTATTTTTTAAATCCTCAAATTGCAGAGTTTTAAATGGTTATCCAATCCTATCAAACTGTACATCAATGGAAAACTTGTTTATTTAACTTTTAGAAAATGCATACATCTGAAAATGTACTCTTATGACTGGTCCTGGGTCATCTGCATCTTGACTTGAGGCACTCCATTATATCAGCAACGCATGAAGTCTTTTGCAGAATATACTGTATATAAACTCAGATGAGCTGACTGTGGCCTCACAGCAAGAACGTTGTTGGTTAGAGTCCCGGCTGGGCCAGTTGACATTTCTGTGTGGAGTTTGCATATAATCCCCGTGTTGGCGTGGGTTTCCTCCGTGTGCTCCGGTTTCCCCCACAGTCCAAAGACATGCGCTATAGGTGAATTGAATAAACTAAATTGGCCGTAGTGTGTCTGAAATGAGTGTATGGATGTTTCCCAGTATTGGGTTGCAGCTAAAAAGCCATCTGCTGTGTAATGGGTTTACTCTTTATAATCATTAAATTGCTTTAAACAATTATAATAATACTAATCATTGTAAAATCATAATAATAATGGGCTTACTCGCTTATTTTAAGTGAACTTTAACCGTTCATTCATTAGTTTCTTTTCAGCTTAGTCCCTTTATTTATCAGGGGTCGCTACAGTGGAATGAACCACCAACTTATCCAGCATGTGTTTAATGCAGCGTATGCCCTTCTAGCTGCAACCCATCACTGGGAAACACTAATATACTCATACACACTCGTACAATATGGACAATTTAGCTTACCCAATTCTATAGCGCATGTCTTTGGACTCGTGGGGGAAACCTGGAGCACACGGAGAAAACCAACACGGGGAGAACATGCAAACTCCACACAGAAATGCCAAATGACTCATCCGAAGCTCGAACCAGTGACCTTCTTGCTGTGAGGCGATAGCGCTACCTACTGCGCCACCACGCAGCCCCAACTTTTACAGTTATAAATAATAAAGCAAGAATAAATAGCATCCTTATATATTTTTTCTTCTAATATTGCCCAATATTACTCCATTATTTGATTTTATTTATTTATTTTTTGTCATTTTTTTTATTAAATAAATGTTCATTATATGCATTTAAAGCCATTTAGAGTGACTTAAAGGGTCATGAAACCCCTCACTTTCGGTTCAAGTCTACCTCAGAATTATTTCAAAAGATGCATCATAATGGGCGAGCAAAGGGCAGGAGTGGGCGTGGCCAGCAGGGGAGAAGGAGGGGAGCGAACAACTGTTGTCAGCTCACAAAATGAGACTCAAACCGCGAGGAGAGCCATGATTTTATAGTTTACTAAGTTAAAATGCAAATAAATAACAGTAATTGAATGCACTGTTACATTTGTTATTCATAATTTCATATACCGATAACCACAATTTATATCATAAAGATAATCGTGTTCATATAAACACTATAAATGTGGACTTTTCCCTCAATCCCCGGGTCTGAATGCAGACTCAGTGCAGTAGGTCTCTTGCCCTGTCTATTTTAACCATTAGCCCTGCTGATAATCTGGAGACTTTAGGCAAACACAGCAGCACGGCGATGTGTCTAAATGTGAACGAACCCAACTGATAAAAGACAACGTTTACCATTCTCCAATTCTCGTACTGTTCTCCCGACAAAAATGCTTCCATACAGCTTTGCTCCATCGGCCCTGACAGGATGGCAGGGAAAAACATGCAAGAAACCCTGTGGATCATGGAAACAAACACATATGAGCCTTCATGAACAGCCAAATACTGTGTGCCGTGGGTCCGTGTCTCACAGCTTGGGATTGGCTCTGGCAAGTCTGCCTTGTCTTCAGAGAGAACGTGCTCTCATGAATAATTAAGAAGCCAGCTCTTTTCATAGGATAAGAAAACTCTGCTATGAATATTAATGAGAAACCGACGCGTCATCTTTGCACTTGCAGTTCTGCGCTACGTCGCCGATTTTGATCCCTTTGCAAAAATCATTTTGAACCCAGAAGCTGAAATTAGCTCACAAAAGCTCAAAATTATCCAGGTTTCCCCACAATTACAGCTAACAGGTGCTAACATTGTCTTAACTGATGCTCAGCACACACACAAAAAAAAGAAAACTACTCTAGGCCTTTGTGAACCTTTAAATATAAGTTGAAACTAGTGAATTGTGATAGTAATAGTTGCTGTTAAGTAAGTTTAATCAACAATATGTTAATATGTGTGTTTTAATAATACATGGTGCGACAAATCAGATCAACAAATCCTTGATTAGCTCTAACTTAATCCTTGTTGGTGGAACCCACCTTGTTTCCTAATGATTTATTCATTTTTATTATTTCCCAGGTCTGCCTGATCCCCAAATCAGCTCATGGCACGAACCCTGCCAGTGCTCAGATGGCGGGCATGAAGGTTCAGGTGGTGGAGGTGGATAAAGACGGCAGTATTGACGTCTCTCACCTTAAAGCCATGGTTTGTACAAAGATTCAAGCATTACATTGTGCATAAACTGTCAACAGAAAGCCTTTATCCTCAGTTCGAGAGTTGTTTACATGGATACACTTGACTGTGATAGCATTATCAGCACTATGTGAATGCTCTGCAATTCAGCACTTCAGCCAAGTACAGACATATTTATTTCAATAAATTTGTGTCTAGTACTTAATAAAATGCTATGTAAATATACTAAAAATTAATTATGCTATAATTAAATGGTAATTACACTCTATAAAGCATCTCTTCAGTGTTTTATTTATATACTTTTTGTAGATCTGACCTCAACAGATTTTAAACTGAAGGCGGAGCCCCAAGGCCACACCCACCAGTTACATCACAAATCATTTGTAGTGTAAAGTGATGTACTTTGTTTGTTCATTCATTCATTTTTCTTCGGCTTAGTCACTTATTTATCAGGGGTCGCCACAGCGGAATGAACTGCCATCTATTACAGCATATGTTTTATGCAGCAGATGCCCTTCCAGCTGCAACCCAGTACTGGGAAACACCCATACACACTCTCATTCTCACACACTCACACACTACAGCCAATTTAGATCATCCAATCACCTATAGCGCATGTCTCTGGACTGTGGAGGAAACCGGAGCAAACCCACTTATACACGGGGAGAACATGCAAACTCCACACAGAAATGACAACTGGCTCAGCCAAGACTCAAATCAGGCGACAGTGCTAACCACTAAGCCACCGTGCCACCCCATGTACTTTCTATGTAAGGTTTAACTGTTTCAAGCACTTTTGGCCGAATTTGGTTGTATTTGATTAAATGTTAAAAGATTTCTTCTATTCCAGAGACCCTCTTTATCTCTAATGATACGCATTGCTCTATTAAACACATTATTATTATTATTATTTGTATCTTCAGGTGGACAAACATAAGGCCAACCTGGCTGCCATAATGATCACGTACCCGTCCACCAACGGAGTGTTTGAGGAGAACGTGAGTGAAGTGTGCGAGCTCATTCATGAAAATGGAGGACAGGTGTATCTGGACGGGGCCAACATGAACGCTCAGGTGAGGTGAACAAAAAAGAGCATAATACTACATAATTTAATGCATAAAGACCTCGGTTGTAACAAGTGGTTATGTGAGTTACTGTTGCCTTTCTATCAGCTGGAAGCATGTCTGGCCATTCTCCTCTGACCTCTGGCATCAACAAGGCATTTGCGCCCACAGAACTGCCACTCACTGGATATTTTCTTTTTTCGACCATTCTCTGTAAACCTAAGAGATGGTTGTGCGTGAAAATCCCAGTAGATCAGCAGTTTCTAAAATACTCAGATCAGCCCATCTGGCACCAACATTCTTGCCATGTTCAAAGTCACTTCAATCCTCTTTCTTCTTCATTCTGATGCTCAGTTTGAACAGCAGCAGATCGTCTTGACCATGTCTACATGCCTAAATGCATTGAGTTGCTGCCATGTGATTGGCTGATCAGAAATTTGGGCAAGCAGTTGGGCAGGTGTACCTAATAAACTGGCCGGTTTTAATAATTTGCTGAATTGATTTGATGCAGATATGAAATTAGGTCTCGTCTTTGAGCCATATATCAGCATTAAAACGCATACAAAATAACAAAAAGTTTAACTTTCTAAATACTGTCTTTCATGCCAAAAAACCTTTCATACATTTATTTATTAAAAAATCACTGAGGATAATCGAATACTTTTTTATTTCACTAATTAGAAAAAAATGCAAACATAAACTAGATGTTGTTTGTTTTTTTTATCAGCCGTAAATTTATTATTAAAATCAGAACTGTGCATAAAATAATATCATATGTGAAAATTGGCAGAGAATTAATTTGACATGTAGTTGTAACTTGGCTTAGAGGAATATTATTATTTTTATTGAATTATTTATTTATATTTTTCTAGTGATTTAATGTATTTCTTTACCTTACAAAATACATACTGTAACATGATGTTTTAGTTATAAGCTAAAACAGCGATTAATACATGGATTTAGATTTTGTCTTGGTTCGTATTGATTTCTACACCTTTATTTTAACCTTAACATCAACATTATGGAGCAACATTAATCAAATAAATATTAATAAAAGCTGTACATGCACAGAAAGGGATGCATTCATGGTTTTAAGCGTTTAAAATTTCAACATTTATTTTTTTAATTCAGGTTGGATTATGTCGACCAGGAGACTACGGCTCGGATGTTTCACACTTGAATCTCCACAAAACCTTCTGCATTCCTCATGGTGGTGGTGGGCCTGGGATGGGGCCTATCGGAGTGTAAGTGTCTGATTGCTTCAAAACCTGCGGCTGGTATCACGATGGTGGCTAAACTAACTCGGAGTTATGGGATTAGTAAACCAAAGCTTTTGTTAGTATTCTTTTCCAGAAGCCCCTACTTATCATCTATCTCCTTCCACTTGGTAATATTCTCAGTAAATATAACATACAGTTTCACTGCTATGCAGATGACACCCAGCTCTAGCTCTCTGGCAAACCCTCTTCTTGTTTTCCACCTACATCCCTCACAGTCTGCTTAGCAGAAATCAAGTCCTGGCTTTCTCTTAACTTCCTCAAACTAAATAGTTCAAAAACGAGGTCAGTAGGTTTTGCTTGTTGGTACCAAATCAACACTCTCCAAAACTGACAGCTTTTCTCTTTCAATTGACGACTGTTCCATCTATCCCTCTAAACAAGTTAAGAGTCTGGGTGTCATCCTTGACAGCAGCCTATCTTTTGATTCTCACATCAATAACATCACCCGGTATGCTTACTTCCACCTGCGCAACATTAACCGCCTCCGCCCTTCTTTTAGCCCTCATGCCACTGCTGTTCTCGTTCATAGCCTTGTCACATCTCGTTTAGATTACTGCAACTACAGTTGGTCTCACTCATAAATCTCTGCCATCAGAAACATTGACTCCCTCACACTGTTCAAATCAAGACTTAAAACCCACTTATTTAAGATGGCTTTTAATACTTAATTTTATCTGCACTATTGTTGTGTATATTTTATTATTTCTCTTGTTGTTTTATTGCTCTTGTTGATTGTATGGTGTCCTTAAGTTGCTAGAAAGGCGCCTTTAAATAAAATGTATTATTATTATAAGTCTCTGCTCATCAACTTTTTCACAACGTTAGTGTGCAAACAGCCAATCAAGAGCTTTACAAGACAGAAAATATCACTAAAGATTTGCTCAAATTTGTAAGCAAAAAACACTTAAACTGATTATGAGACCATTTCCATTGTTTTGCAACTAAATAATTTTTTTTGTCTTTTTTTTTAATGCTTTATTGATTCTAAAGTCTATTTATATCACAGGCTATCATTTTATTATCATTTATTAAGGATAAAATTATTATATAAATTATATAAAACAATTATAATAAATGTATAAGCAATTTATTTTAGAAAATAAAGTCAAATTCGCTAAAAGCCAAATTATTTTACCTTAAATGTATTACTCCATAGTGGACTTTTATTTTGGAGCAGGATAAACTAGGGGATTGGCTTTATTGCATCACTTCACTCACAGCAGATTGGTTTTTGATCCCTGAACCAGAGTATAACCTTTTTTATGTTACTATGGGGATGAAAAATAAGCCACTTACATGATCTCTTAAACCTCGAGTTTGTTCAAACTAAACTGAAACTTATCTGGATAACCAGCTAATTCAGCTTCATGGTACAGGTCCCTGTTCTAGATAATCAATCATAGATTTCAGTTGACTTCAGTTAACCCCCAATGGTTTATTTCACACAGGAAACAGCATCTTGCCCCCTTCCTGCCCAGTCATCCAGTGGTGAACATGCAGTCCAATAATGCAGGCAGTTCTCTGGGCACCATCAGTGCTGCTCCATGGGGCTCCAGCGCCATCCTGCCTATCTCATGGGCTTACATTAAGGTCAGCACGTATTTTGCATCTTGCCTTTTTCAACAAAAGTATGCACCAATAATGAAAATGACCAAGGCTGGAGGCAAGGACCAAGGCAAGGCTCTCATTTTTTATAGCTGTTTCTGTGCAGAGTTTAGGAGATGAAAACCTAACACAAAATAAAAAGTAATTACATTTATTTAAGGTTTATATATAAAAAACCCTATTAGAACCACTTGTTTTGTAATTAAAAGTCCTGTGCAGTGCTTTGATACGTGCATTTTATTTGATGTTTGACATAATTTAAATGGAAAGATGAGGGTGGGACATAGAGTAGCTCCCCCCTTTTTGAGAGTGGTTGAGCTCAAGCACATCAAATTAAATGCTTGAAGGGGGCGGGACATGTCAGATATTAGAGCATCTGATTGGTTAAGATTTTAAGAGAAATTGAAGTATTAAGTGAAGTAAAGATAAATCATTGATCCATTTCGGCGGAAGTGACGAACTGCAAGTTATTTTTGTTGTTTATATCTTCTAAATGCTAATTTTGTCGCTGTTTTGGAGCGAACTAACTTAAAATTAATGTACTGATACTAGTGATGGGTCGTTATTGAATTGGGGTTCAATTGTGGGTTGAATTATTCGTTCATTTTGAACAAATCTTTTGTATGACTTGAGAACGATGAGCCCTTACAGGGAGTGATTCGTTCATTTTCGCACGTGCACATTTATAATTTATATAAACCGAAATGATTTTAATAGTTTATTCATTTCTAATTTATTTCTCCTTTAAACAGATGATGGGTTCAAAGGGTCTTGCACACGCTACAGAGGTGGCCATCCTTAATGCCAACTACATGGCTAAACGACTGGAAAACCAATACAAAATACTTTTCAGGGGCACCAAAGGTTGGATTTTTTATTATTTTTATTTTTTTTTTGTATTCTGAATTGTTGATGTAGTATTGCAGCTCATTTCTGAGTATGTTTGCATTTGCAGGATTTGTTGCTCATGAGTTTATTTTGGATGTGCGGCCTTTTAAAAAGACGGCAAACATTGAGGCAGTCGACGTAGCAAAGAGACTGCAAGACTACGGTAAGCAGACCTGTAAAAACATGGAATTGCTCAGCCTGATCTCACAAGGAAACTTAACTAATGTTTTGTCAGTTTAGTGGCTAGATGGTACGAATTCATAGTTTAATCCTTTACTATCTTACTGACTTACTAACTGACTTACTATCTTACTGACTTTCTGACTAACTTACTGACTTGTTGACTCTAACTTACTATCTTACTTACTGACTTTCTAACTGACTCACCGACTTACTGACTGGCTTACTATCTTACTAACTTTCTAACTGACTTACTATCTTACTGACTTTCTGACTAACTTACTGACTTGCTGACTCTAACTTACTATCTTACTGACTAACTTACTGACTTTCTAACTGACTCACCGACTTACTGACTGGCTTACTATCTTACTGACTTTCTAACTGACTTGCTGACTTTCTGACTATCTTACTGACTGACTTATTAATTTACTGACTTACTTACTTACTGACTCTAACTTACTAACTATCTTAGTGACTGACTTTCTAACTGACTCACCGAACTACTGACTTTCTGACTGACTTTCTAATTTAATAACTGACTTACTGACTGGCTTACTATCTTACTGACTTTCTAACTGACTTGCTGACTTTCTGACTATCTTACTGACTGACTTATTAATTTACTGACTTACTTACTTACTGACTCTAACTTACTAACTATCTTAGTGACTGACTTTCTAACTGACTCACCGAACTACTGACTTTCTGACTGACTTTCTAATTTAATAACTGACTTACTGACTGGCTTACTATCTTACTGACTTTCTAACTGACTTACTGACTAACTGACTTTCTGACTAACTAATCTCACTGACTGACTTACTAATTTACTGACTTTCTAACTTACTGACTTTCTAACCAACTTACTGACTCTAACTTACTAACTATCTTAGTGACTGACTTACTAACTCACTGACTTTCTAACTGACTCACCGACTTACTGACTTTCTGACTGACTTACTGACGTTCTAACTTAATAACTGACTTACTGACTGGCTTACTATCTAACTGACTTACTAACTGACTTTCTGACTAACTATCTTACTGACTGACTTACTAACTTAATTTACTGACTTACTAACTGACTGACTTACTATCTTACTGACTAACTATCTTACTGACTGACTTACTAACTTATTAATTTACTGACTTACTAACTGACTGACTTACTAACTTACTGACTTTCTGACTTACTGACTAACCTACTGACTGACTTACTATCTTACTGACTTTCTAACTGACTTTCTGACTAACTATCTTACTGACTGACTTACTAATTTACTGACTTTCTAACTGACTTACTGACTTACCAACTGACTAACTAACTTGTGGACTTAATATCTTCACTTACTTTACTTACTTTATTTATGAATTAAATTGGGGCAGGTTTTCATGCACCCACCATGTCGTGGCCTGTAGCGGGAACTCTGATGATCGAGCCCACCGAGTCGGAGGATAAAGCAGAGCTGGACCGCTTCTGTGACTCTCTGCTGGCCATAAGGCAGGAGATCGCAGACATCGAAGAGGGACGCATGGACTCCAGAGTCAATCCTCTGAAGGTCAGCGCTTTATAGCTCAAACCCAGAACATTGCTTTGATCATGTACAGTTGAAGGCAAAATTATTAGCCCTCCTATTCAATATCTTATTACTTTTCAATTATTTCCCAAAAGATGTTTAACCGAGCAAGGAATTAGAGCTAGAAAAAAAGCAGTTTTTCTATTTTATATATATATATATATATATATATATATATATATATATATATATATACACTTATATATTAATAAATGTACGTTTTAAATATTATTTTGACCAACATCTGGAAATTTTCGATTTCTCTTAATTTAACCTTAACCCTGGATCCTTCTGTAGCCGCTCTAACTTTAATATGATCTTCTATATTTTCTCCAAAGATGGCTCCTCACTCACTGGCCTGCATTACCTCCAGCACATGGGACAGACCGTACCCGAGAGAGTTTGCTGCTTTCCCCATGGTGCGTACCCTACATCCAGATTCAAATACAGACACATTTTCAGTTTTAAAATGACTGCATCTTATTTTCAACTCTGTATTCCAGCCTTTCGTAAGACCCGAGACCAAGTTCTGGCCCACCATTTCAAGGATCGACGACATCTATGGAGACCAGCACCTGGTCTGCACATGTCCACCAATGGACGTCTACGAGTCTCCATATGAAGAAAGAGCTTCCTCATGACCAAAATGAACCATCAATATATGATCATCGGTACGTTTCCATTCGCAAACCATGCACAAATAGCTGGCCTGTCCTCCTCTGTTACTCTACTAAATCCAAATCTGATTCAGATACTGTAATCGACCTGTATAGGGGGGAGGGCGGTTCGTCGTTTTTTTTGTCGTTTTTATATTTTTATTCGCTGTATAAAAAATATTTGGGTGTTTTTGGTCTGTATGTAGGCTTAACTTACTGGCACTGTTCTCAAACGTTAACCCTAATTTGAAAGATGTAATGTACGTTTTCTAATTATTTAAGAAATAGAGCCTGTTTGTAGCCATTTAATAAATATTTTAAAGAACTCCTGCTTACATCATTTGACTCCTGAATCTGATGCATGTTATTTTTTTACACAATACAGTCGTTCTAATGTGAAATGGAGTTGAGCTGCGTTTCGTACTGCTCGTCGCTTCTCTTCTTCCATAAATTTCCAGCCACTATTCCTAAGAACAAAAGCAGTCCGAGGTTTCGGTTTGAGGCAAATTTTTTCCAGCAGTCCTCGGGTCTGTTGATGTCCACAGAGTAGATCTGTTGAGTGCAGAAAAGAGAGATGTAGAGCAAGGTTATAAAGCACAGTATCACTTCAAAATACTCGCGTGAATTTTATTCATAATCAAAATTTGTGTGTCTCGTACAGAGATGTAAATGTATAAACATTTGAAGAGTTCAGATGCAAAACCCTCTAAAAATCCATCAGACCTCTTTTCTTGTAAATGAGCATTGTCTGTCAGGCTCCTCTGATTAAATTCAGAAGTTTCACTTTAATAGTTAATGATAAGGTTATTAGCTGGTGAATAAAATAGCTAGTCACTTTAGACAACTCTTTGGTTTCTCATCATCATCATTTTCTTGTCGGCTTGGTCCCTTTATTAATCCGGGGTCACCACAGCAGAATGAACCGCCAACTTATCCAGCAAGTTTTTACGTAGCTGATGCCCTTCCCGCCGCAACCCATCTCTGTGAAACATCAACACACACATTTACACACTACGGACAATTTAGCCTACCCAATTCACCTGTACCGCATGTCTTTGGACTGTGGGGGAAACCGGAGCACCCGGAGGAAACCAACGCGAAGGCAGGGAGAACATGCAAACTCCACACAGAAACGCCAACTGAGTCGAGGTTCGAACCAGCGACCCACGCCCCCGCGACCTTCTTGCTGTGAGGCGACAGCACTACCACTGCCTTGCCCCTTTGGTTTCTAACAAGTTAAATTTTATTTTGCGTCAACCAGCTAAATCCACTTTTTTTTTTTTTTTATTTCTTTTTTTTGCAAAAACCTCTAAATCCACCTATCGGGACAGGACAGTGTAATTGGTTGAAAATCACTAAAGATGCAATTATGCATTCATTGCACTTTTTCCCCTCCCTAGACTTCCATTCAAAATTTTTTTTTTTTTTTTTTTTTTTTGGATTATTTAAAACTGCAGCTAAAGACTCAATCGTGACTACGTAGTTTACGAGGTATGCGTTTTTCCTTCTCAAAACTAGTACACTCATACCTTCAGGCTGTGGAGCAAGCACGTGAGCTGGCAAGTAGCATGTGTCTTCTCACCTGATGTGCTAAATGAAGAGCCACCGCAGACACTGCACAATAATAAGGTGCAGTCTGGTCAGCATTAACTCCAGCCAGAAGCAGTCCAGACAGCATGGCCCCGGTGAAGCCGCTCAGCCAGAGTTTAGTGTTCTCCTGAAACCGCAGGGCCGTTGACTTCACTCCCACTTTCAGATCATCGTCTTTGTCCTGCTCAAGAACAGAAGGTTTTGTTTCTTAATTGTTCGAGTGTTAACGTCTAAAATGTATTCAGGTGATAAGCAGGCCTGGTACAATAATCAATATATCGACATTGTGTAATAGTTTGACCTAAATTTTTGCCATTTCAATATATACACTCACCGGCCAGTTTATTAGGTACACCTGTCCAACTGCTCGTTAACGCAAATTTCTAATCAGCCAATCACATGGCAGCAACTCAATGCATTTAGGCATGTAGACATGGTCAAGACGATCTGCTGCTGTTCAAACCGAGCATCAAAATGGGGAAGTCAGGCTGGTCTGAATATTTCAGAAAATGCTAATCTACTGAGATTTTCACACACAACCATCTCTAGGGTTTACAAAGATTTACAGAGATTGGTTTCCTGATCATGACAATGAGTTCACTGTTCTCAAATGGCCTTCACAGTCACCGGATCTCAATCCAATAGAGCACCTTTGGGATGTGGTGGAACGGGAGATTCGCATTATGGATGCCATCATGTCAATATGGAGCAAAATCTCTAGTATTTTCAGTACCTTGTTAAATCTAAGCCACAAAAGATAAAGGCAGTTCTGAAGACAAAAGGGGTCCAACCTGAAACTAGTAATGTGTACCTAATAAAGTGGCCGGTGAGTGTATTTACAAATTCGCAAATAATGTTAAAGCCATTTACATTCTACCTTACCGGTGTCGAAGTTTATATATGGACATTTCCCTAATAGGACATTTTAATAGTATATACAATAAGACATTTAGCTTTTTAATATCAAATTATAGAATCTAAATATGATAAGTATTTTAAAGGGTTTTTGGCTATTTGCATTATTATACTGTTATATAATCATTATATAATCAGTGGCATAAAAGATCTCAAAATGACAATATTATTGCTTATCGCAACAGTTTCTGTGACAACATATCGCACAACAAAAACTCCTTTTTCCTAGTGATAAGCTCCAAAAATTTCAGAATAAAAGTTGAATAAATGCATCATAAATATGACCAACAATATATGTTAAACAATGAAGAAAACTTGACATGAGAAATAAATAAATAAGTACAACAACTTGGTCATTTTTTTTATTTGAAGTTATAGAAAAGATTTTATTTTTATACTAGTGTTTATTTCATATAATTCCTCCCATTCCTTTTGCCATTGAAGTAAACTAAAGGTGTGTTTTTAAAAAAAACCACAGTCCCAAAACAGACTTGCAGCCAGTAAGCGGTAAGGTGGATGACTAGGAACTATAACAGGCAGGGAGCATTGGAACATTCACCCGCTCTTCACTTATCGATAAATGCTCATTTTATATCGACATGGTGAGGGAAAATGTAATGTAATGCGGTGCTTCTTGTACAATCTGAGGCCCACTTTATGTCAGATATCACTCAGTCAGCGGAGATCGCTGATTTTGAAAGAAAACAGACCTTAAACGTGCCAATTTTGTAAGGGTATACAGTTCACCAGTAACGTCTCCAGGTTACTGGCAAATTAAAAGTCCTTAAGCATACATCCGCATATATCCTATTGGTGGCCTGAGGTATTATCTTTCCCCAGTCTGCCATTGATAGCAGGGATATTAAAAAGGGGCGGGTACTGTTCGGTTATGGGTGTGTTTATTTGATGCTATTAAATATCAATGAAGATGAAATAAATGACACCTTTAAAGGATAGTACACCCAAATAAATGTATACTATTTACTCACTCTCAAAATGGTTTCAAAGTTTTGAGTTTCTTTTTTTTTTATTAAACACAAAAGAAAATATTTTGAAAAATGTTGGAAACTGGAAACCATTCACAGTCATTGTAGGAAAAACAAAATTGTACAGAAGTCAATGGCTACCATTTCCAAAATTCTTCAAAACAAGAAACTCAAACCGGTTAGTGATGGGTGAGTAAATGATGACTGTGTTTTCAGTTTTGCCTGAACTATCCCTTTAAGAAGTACTTTGCAATCGGTTATTTCCAAATTAAGTGATTCCTTGGCAGCTTTATGCTTATTTTGAGTCGGTCCAATGTGAACTGAAATCCAGCAGAAGTTGATATACATTTTTTTTATATATAACAACAATTATGGGGTCAAGAAAAAAGTTGCTAGATTCTAACTAATATAGTCAGATTGTGTACCTGATGGGCATATATTGTGTCATAAATTAGCGTCCACATGACCCCAGACACATAGAGAGGCAAACACACAGACCAGTCACATGATCCCTTCACTGCAGACCAACCCAGAAGAGCTCCCCAGTTAAACGTCAGACCTACAGGAGGAGGAACACAGTGTTCAGATCGAGAAATAGTTTCACTTTAACAAATCTGTGTAAATATAAGGGTTGAAGAACTGGTTTTAGAAATATTTAGCACACTAATGGTAGCGCACCTAAAATAAACTGAGGCCAGTATGTGATTCTCTTCATCAGAGGATACGTGACCACCAGCGACAAAGAGGCGGCTCCGAGAGCGATGCTAGAGAGAGAGAGAGAGAGATGGGAAATGGTGGATTAAAAGGATTTAGAGCAGGGATCACCAAACTTGTTCCCAGAGGGCTGATGTCCTGCGGATTTTAGCTCCAACCCTAATCAAACATGCCTGAACCAAAAAATAGTTCCCATATGATGTTTAACAGAGCAAGGAAATTTTCACAGTATGTCTGATAATATTTTTTCTTCTGGAGAAAGTCTTATTTGTTTTATTTCGGCTAGAATAAAAGCAGTTTTAAATTTTTTTAAACGCCATTTAGGGAAAAAATTATTAGCCCCTTTAAGCAATATTATTATTCGATTAGTCTACAGAACAAACCATCATTATACAATAGCTTGCCTAATTACCATAACCTGCCCAGTTAACCTAATTAACCTAATTAAGCCTTTAAATGTCACTTAAGCTGTATAGAAGTGTCTTGAAGAATATCTAGTCAAATATTATTTACTGTCATCATGGCAAAGATAAAATAAATCAGTTATTAGAAATGATTGGTTAAAACTATTGTGTTTACAAATGTGTTGGAAAAAAAAACTTCTCTCAGTTAAACAGAAATTGGGGAAAAAAATAATAAACAGGGGGCTAATAATTCTGACTTCAACTGTATGTACAAATATGTAATGTCCAAAAGGCATTTTGAGAGGTGTTTTGACAGTTCAGAGCCACTGTACAAGGGAAAAGCTGAAAAGAGATAGTATAACTTTAGAAAATGCTGCATAAATTCATCCCATTTGGCGTTTTAGATACTTTAGAACACGTTCAAAGGAATTTAAAGGAATAAACACTGTGAGAAAAGCTCCGTAATAGTGCAATGGACAAGTTTGATCCACACATGTGTGAGGCAGGCAGTTCTGTACAATTACATAATCTATCCGCTTAAAGATATGGGCCTAATTTTGACATCGGACTGATAATGATAACATTAAAAATAGCATTTATCGGCCAATAACGCAGATATATTGTTCATCTCTACTATGTATAATTCCAATAAACATACTTATAAAAAAAACATTTACTTATTTTTTTTTACCAGAAAACACAGAAGTTAGCTTATTTTCAGACACAGCATAATATCACTATGCCACAATGGGAGTATAGTTCCTTGCCATGTCGCCCTATAAAAAAAAAAATTCAGCAGGTCGAAAGCTCGAGAAAAAAAAATAGTGTAAAAAGAAGCACCTGTAGTAGTTAAGGCTGAGTAGGACCCCCAGCGCTAAACTGAGCTGTCCTCCGAGGAAAACCAGAGCTTGAAACCGCGTGATGTCCCCTGACGCAATGGGCCGAGTGGCAGTCCGTGACACCTACAGGAAAAACACCAGATAATCAGACTCCAGCAGCTGCCAAAAACACATCCAGATCCTGCTAACATTCCAACTGTGATGATCATTGGTCAAACATTCAGCCTAATATAAAACAACATACCAACATCCTTGAATGCCAACTTCATTCTACAGATCGCAGTATTAGCACTTTAATATTAGCAAATGTCAAAAGTTTTTAATAAGTTTTAAAGAGTTAGTTCATGCAAAACTGTTATGTTATTATTTACTCACCCTTCATTTCTCAAACCTGAGTCTCAAAAATAAGTTCTTTTGAAAAATATTGGATACCTTTAACTAGGGATGTAACAATATTGTAAATACCGTCATACCGCAATAGTAATTTTTTTTAATATTACCTTAGGCGCATTTCTCAATAAAACTATATTTCTGAGAAAAGTTTGCTTAGGCGAATGAAGCGAACGGGAGGTAGCGGGAACTACAATTCCCATCAGCCTAGGCGTGGCCATCATCCTTTGCGGTTTGTTGTCACTACAGATCCAGTAATGCGGAAATGGAGTGTGTTGCTAGTAGGGGGGAAGAAAAGGAGCTGGAAATGATCGAACCTAAAGCGGGTTTGAAATCGGATGTGTGGAAGCATTTCGGTTTCTTTCTAAAATTATTCGAAAAAGGTGAAAAGGTGACAGACAAAGAAAAAAAAAAAACAGTATGCAGGCACTGCCAGACTGTGGTGAAATATAAGTCGGAGAAAAGACTAAAAACAGTCGTGGGGACTGCAGAACACAGCACACTTGTTAGATTGATGCAGACATTGACTTGTACCATAAAGAGACCTCTATCTCACTCATGGCTTGTCCTCTCAAGTGGTGGAATAACGATGCAAAACGTTACCCACTGCTGTCAACCATGGCTAAATCATATCTCTCTGTCCCAGAAACCTCAGTCCCAAATAGGAGGGTTTTTTTCTGTTGCAGGGGACATTGTAAATGCCCAGAGATCCCAGCTTTTACCAGATTATAGTTGTATGATAATTTGCCTTAAAAAACCCATCTCTATCTAAGTGAGTGAGTGATTAAATGTTGAATGTGACGAGTTTTCAACAATACTAAATTGAAACTTTATTTTTTTATATGATTTAATAGTTTTTTTGTTATTAAAATTGAAGTTCCTGTTTCAAAGCTTACAGATTGATGGCTAATTTGTATGTCATTGATATGTTCAGTGCTAAGGTAAATAAACACTTTTGGCAATTTTTTCAAGTCTTTTCATTAGTTTTGTTTTTCCTGTAAATTATTCAATAAATAACGTACCGTGCCATTCATACCGAGGTATTATAATACCGTGAAATTCTGATACCGTTACATCCCTACCTTTAACCATTGTCTTCCATAGTATTCATTTTTTTCCTACTATAACAGTTACTAGTTTTCAACATTTTTCAAAATATCTTCTTTTGCGTTTTATAATGCACATTGCTTTTGTTTGAAATGTGCTTGTGCTTTTGTGAATCTTTAGGCCTTATCTGTCTGATTTTTTTGTTGTGTTGAACTACCCGTGTATGTGTGTGAGATTCAGTTTGTCTCTGTAACATTGTAAATTGGAGTCAGGCCACAATAAAATGTAATGTAATTAAATTGAAGATTAAATTTAGACCACTAGTGACACATTTTTATAAAACTGTATAAAAATCTACTTTAAATGCATTTTAGTAGTGTCTTTGTGCTATAGGAGTCAATGTATGAGCTGTAATGTTGTGCTTGGAAAACAATTTTACACTCTTGTTTTGATGCTTTGAAAACCCCTTTACATCTGAGCCCTTTACTCGTACCTTCTTGTCAAAATCTTTATCCCACATGTCATTGATAGTGCATCCAGCTCCTCTCATCAGCAAAGCTCCGACACCGAACAGTGTAAGCATGCGCAGATCGGGAAGACATCCCGGGTCTGCAGCCAAGCCGATACTCCACGTACATGGCAGATACAGCAGCCACGTTCCTGCAAAAACAATGTATAATGTATATTGTTGGCTGGGCCGTTCTACAGCTTGATTTTCTTTCTCTGAAAGCATTTGAGTCTCTTGGCTGTGTCTTAAATCCTTGTCTTGCTGAAATGTCCACTCTGGTTTCATCTTCATCATCTGATAATGTAGATGTTGAACGGAAGCAGCTGATATTAACTTACACTGAGGAAGGGCAGAGGGTTGCTGAAGAACTACTACTACTGCTGTCTGGACTTTCCATGCCTTTCTACACCTTCCTTTCTTCATGTGTTCAATACTTTTTCCCTTTGTTATTTTATTACTTTATTTGTAAACTTATTAGATTTGTTTTTCTTTGCATTAGGCTCGGGCGGTAATATGGTGTATGGCGGGATCTAAAAATAGCAACGGTGTCAATTTCGGTACCGTTAAACCGTCATAAAAAACAATGCACTTAATCAGGAGACAAGTATTAAATAATAAATATTATTTATTTAAAGACTACAAATGCGTATGCGTGATTTTTATCATGGGACAGTGTGGAGGAGAGAGAGAGAGGTGTGGTGAGGTAAGGCGAGTCGCGCACCAAGTGACCTGCAGTTTGGCAGTATTTCCGGTTTCGACCAAACAAGAAGGGAGACGTGGTAAATAAGAACTAGAGGTCTGCATTCCCACTGCTGTACCGCGGGAGCAGTGGGACCCGACCAGATTTCTTGCGGTGCGGGAATACATTTTCGAATAAAGCGCGGGAGCGGTTGGTAACTCTGGTGTAATTTGAAAGGGAGCGGGCGCGTGGTCTAAATAGAGAGCACGCTTGGTGCTCTCTCTTTGTGTGCGTGTGTGCGCGCGCATGAATGAGAGAGAGCGTCCCGCGAAGATCTCTAATACAAACAAGTTGTAGTTGTAGAAGTAGGTTGTGTGGTGTCGTGGCAGAGAGATCGGTTAACAGATTTTGTTCAGGTCACAGTTTTGATTTAGCTGAACAATCCTGTAAAATACTTTGTAAATATTGTATAATTTATTTTTCTTTATTGTTATTTTGTCGAGCGAAGCAGTGGCGCAGTAGGTAGTGCTGTCGCCTCACAGCAAGAAGGTTGCTGGTTCGAGCCTTGGCTCAGTTAGCGTTTCTGTGTGGAGTTTGCATGTTCTCCCTGCATTCGCGTAGGTTTCCTCCGGATGCTCCGGTTTCCCCAACAGTCCAAAGATATGTGCTATAGGTGAATTGGGTAAGCTAAATTGACCTTAGTGTATGAGTGTGTGTGTGTGTATGTGTGGATGTTTCCCAGAGATGGGTTGTGGCTGGAAGGGCATCCGCTGCGTAAAAACTTGCTGCATAAGTTGGTAGTTCATTCCGCTGTGGCGACCCCGGATTAAAGCCTGATTTATACTTCTGCGTCAAGTGACCGGCGTAACCCACGGTGCATGCAACGCGCGTGGCTGTGCATTTATACTTCTGCGCGCTGCCTCTGTTGGTCTGCATTAACACTTCTGAAACGCTAGTGGGCAGTGAGGTGTAAATGTTCCTCTGTGTCGAATTTCCTCGCTGCTTTTTTGCTTTTCCTCAACACTTCGGGATGTACAAGTGGCTCAAACTCGCTCATTTTGAGGCAGGAACCGGCGAACGTGCAACAACTTTAACTATGAGGTAAACACAAAACAAAACTTTCCATCAGGAGCTCCTTTACGGGACTCCACACTTGTAAACAATCGCTCCTTCAGGCTTGCACCATTCGCGCGGCTCTCGGTTCCGCCCAGACTCGTCAGCGCTACCAAGCCGACCAATCACAGAGCTTGCGCTACGCGTCGTTGCGATGTGTAGTTACATTTTTTGAGAGGTGCACGTCAGCGACGCCGATGGCCACGGCGAAGGGCTATGCGTCAGCGCCGTAGCATACGCCTGCGTTTGACGCAGAAGTATAAATCAGCCTTAATAAAGGGACCAAGCCGACAAGAAAATGAATGAATGCTATTTTGTCACTTTTACCTTTTTGCTGGATTTTTTTTCCTCACTGTGTCAAATCACTCTTCACTTTCACCAGCGGCTTCTGTGACACTTTTTGCCTCTCCGCCCGGTCTGGTTTATACTTCTGCGTCAAGTGACCGGCGTAACTCATGGCACAGGCAACGCGCGCAGCTGTGCATTTATACTTCTGCGCATTGTCCCTGTTGGTCTCCATTAACACTTCCGAAATGCTAGTTGGCAGTGATGTGTAAATGTTGCTCTGTGTCGAGTTTCTTCGCTTCTGTTTTAGTTTTCCTGAACACTTCCTGGTTGTACAAGTGACTCAAACTCGCTCATCTTGAGGCAGGAACCGGCGGACGTGCAACAACTTTAACTATGAGGTAAACACAAAACAAAACTTTCCATCAGGATCTCCTTCACGGGACTCCACACTTGTAAACAATCGCTTGCGCCATTCGCGCGGCTCTCGGTCCCGCCCAGACTCGTCAGCGCTACCAAGCCGACCAATCACAGAGCTTGCGCTACGCGTTGTTGCGATGTGTAGTTACATTTTTTGAGAGGTGCACGTCAGCGACGTCGATGGCCACGGCGAAGGGCTATGCGTCAGCGCCGTAGCATACGCCTGTGTTTGACGCAGAAGTATAAATCAGCCTTCAATCGTAACAGTCGTAACGTGAATGAACCCAAGGTCGCATATACGGTATTCAGTTTCTGAATGGTTTAGGCACAAGCCAACAGTTTGGTGACTCTCTCTGAGCCTTACATCGTAGTTTTTTTTATTATGCACAGTAATACCGAATACCGAGGTAAAATAGGGAGGAGGTTTGACGGTATCAAAATTTGCATACCGCCAAGCCTACTTTGCATATATGAATTTCTTTGGTTGTTACCAACAACAACACCTTTAGAAATGAGTCAATGTATAATTCGCACCCTGCACATATTGTTTATTGTGGGCCACATATTTAATATGTTTGACACCTGTGTGTGCTAAAGCATCCTGGACAGAAGAGTGTGAAATACAGAAAGCTCACCTATGGGTTTGTCCAGTCTCATTAATCTGAGGTATGGCTGAACAGACGCCGGGGCTGCGTTTACAATCCCAGCAGGCGTGAGGCTGAAAAAGCGTCTTCCATAACAGTGACCCGCCACTAAAGGAGTCCGAGATCTACATTTGTGCTCATCAGATGTGTTGAAGCAGGATCCGGGCCGACAGAAGGCCGCTGTGATGTTTTCATGGCGTCTTGTGAGCACTGCAAAGCGGGCAGAGCAGATCTGTGGCCTCAGTGTCAGCAGTCTGCTGGACATCATCCTGATATTTGGGCCTTCAGCACGACTGCGAAGTAGCAAACCGCTTCATTGTCTGCTCGCGTTCATGTGCAAATGAGGGACCTCTTCAGGAACAATGAACCTGACCGATGCCAACAGCAGAAACACAATACAAGCCATTCAATGCAGATTACTGACGAGTCATCAAGCTGAGTGAATGAGGAGTTTTCTTATAATACTGCATTCTAGTGTAAACGGAGGTAAAGTTGGTTTTATATTCGCACATTTAATTAATTATATTCACATTTAATTTTTGGTTTTAAGAAGATTTGAAGAATATAATTTTTTTTTTTGCTCCACTGCACCTATTATGGCTATTATTATGCACTATTTTAGCAAATTACTGTCTGTTTAAAAGCCATATTGTTATACATACATATGTGAATATGGACGGATGGATGGATGGATGGATGGATGAGTCCTTCAGGCTTGTTTGAAACCTAAAGGTAAGTGTGTTGGAGCTAAACAGTGCAGAACTGTGGCCCTCCAGGAACTGACTTTGACACCCCTGTTGTAGACAAATTGAAGTTGAATGAATCGTATTTATAGTGTCTTGCCAAGTCAACTCATGTTTACAATCTCTTTGTATCTAGGCGCATTTTATTTAGTATGTTACTTGATCATTTTGAATGAACTTTTTCAGAATATTATATTAAATATACATTTTACGAATTTATTCATTGAAAATTTAGATTGTAGTTTACTCTGATTCCTCAGTTTATGACTCCTTGAAACCACTATGGGAACGGGACCTAGGAGTTTTGTTTGACCCTGAAGATTAGTTCAAGATCTGAGGTATCTTTCCAAGATGTACCTCAATTTCCATACATAAACAAAATTTTAAGTTTTTTCACAGAATTTATTTTACACCTGTTCGTCTGCATAAAATGTTCCATGCTTGTTCTGATCTCTGTTTTAAGTGCAAAACTTGCAAGGGCACATTTTTTTTCATGTATTGTGCTCCTGTGTTTACATCCAACCATTTTGGAGAGGTTTACTCTGCAATACAGGAGATAATTGAGAAACGTTTTATTTTCTCCCCCTCACTTTTGTTGTTGAATGACATTCCAGAAGATCTTTTTGACTCAGAGCTCAAACCTCTGTTCACAACCCTGACATTTCTGGCTAAGAAATGTATATTATTAAAATGGTCTACTTCTCAAACTCCAACTATTTCCATGTGGATTTCTCAGCTGTCAGCCTTTCTTCCTTTGGAAAAACTAACTTTAAACTCAACCACAAGCAGGACAAATTCAGGAGACTTTGGAAATCTCTCCAATCCTTTCTACATAAACTTTGAAACTTTTATTTAAAAAAGTTCTGGCTTCTCCTGTTTTGTTTTGACTATTTTATTTATTTTTTGTTATTTCTCTATTTTAAACTTACATTTATAAAAGTTTATTTGATTTGCAGCGCTTGGGGATGGTTTGTTTGTTTGTTTTTGTCTTTGTTGTTTGTAATATTTGAAAATCTTAAATAAAAATAAATAAATAAATTCAGATTATTATCTTTAAGTTGTATTATACTTATAGTATTAATTATTTTACATTATTTATTTTTCCTATGCTTTTTTCCACGGATATCCATTTCTACACTTAAGTAACTTACTTCGTGTTATTTGCGTGAATAAGTGTTTTTCTAATACCGTTAGCAAGTACACTGTAAGCCTAATAAATACAATTGTAAGGCTAAAAACATTCCTTTTCTGTTGCTTTAAACATTTATTATTGAAACAATATTATGAAACTGATAGATCATGCAAATATGCTAAAAGCAGCGTCGCTAAAATGTATTTTTTTTAAAGTCAATACATTACAAATATCTCACAGTTTTCTTTGTTGAAACCTTTATAAGTCATATATTTGTATTTGTCATGTTTAACTTACAGCACCGTGACATATTTTGAAGTCCTTCATATAGTGTGCGCCGGTGTGTGGTTCCCCCTGAAACATTTGTTTTCTGTATGGTTCCGGTGTCATTTGGTGGTGTATTCTAAAGCAGGTGTCTGTGATAGTGGCTACAGATAATACTGGAAGGGCCGGCGACGCGGTGGCGTAGTAGTGCTGTCGCCTCACAAGGTCGCTGGTCGAGCCTCGGCTGGGTCAGTTGGCATTTCTGTGTAGAGTTTGCATGTTCTCCCTGCGATCGCGTTGGTTTCCTCCGGGTGCTCTGGTTTCAAAGGAGCTGGAAGCTGCAGGCAGGCCCACAGAACCACACGTTTTAGGCACACACAATCTAGGCAAACCATACATGGTTAAGACAATAGTGTTTACTTTACTTTATTTCACAAACATTGTGATCGAGACGGGCGAATGGGGAGCGTTGATTCCGATCGCCATTCAATATAATAGAGTGAACAGTTTTCTATCAGTCATTCATAGATGATCAGTCATTATTATCCGACAGAGTGATTTTAGCAAATACTCGTTTGCTGGCCTTGCTAAACGATCTAAATTTGACAGGTTTAATTTATACAATGGATTCATTTATAATGAAAGAAATAATAGCAAGTTAATATAGGCAATAATAAATTTTATATGTAATAAAAATATTTTATATACTATATATATATATATATATATATATATATATATATATATATATATATATATATATATATATATATATATATATATATATATATATATATATATATATATATATATATATATATATATATATATATATATATATATATATATATATATATATAAAATATATATATAAATAGATATATATAGAGAGATATATAGAGAGAGATATAGAGAGATATATATATATATATATATATATATATATATATATATATATATATATATATATATATATATATATATATATATATATATATATATATATATATATATATATATATATATATATATATATATATATATATATATATATA